TTTTTTTTTTTTTTTTTTGTTTTGTTTTTTTGAGACAGGGTTTCTCTGTGGTTTTGGAGCCTGTCCTGGAACTAGCTCTTGTAGACCAGGCTGGTCTTGGATTAACCCATTTCTATTAATGTATGTAGCACCATGAGGTGGTGACTTACTGGGAAGATTCTAACCTACGTCCTTCTTGAGCCAGAGCTTCATCGTGTCTTCCTTATTGCCTTCTTCCTCCCAGCATTCTGTTCTGTCTACTCCACCCACCTATGTTCTGACCTATCAGGCCAAGCAGTTTCTTTATTAACCAATGAAAGCAACAGATAGATAGAAGATCCACCTACATCATATAGTAGAATGTTTCATGGTGCAAGGCATTTCTTTTCCTTTTAGAGAGGTCCTTAACACATGAGTATGTTCAGGGTCTGTATGCTTTTTAACTTGGCATAATGCTAGCACTGCATGAGAAGGTTTTCCTAGGATTCTTCCTTTTTCTTGTTTCTATTGTTTGTCTACCTATCCATTGTTTCCTTCAGTTGAGTAATTAATACATCTTTATTAAGCCACTTGTCACTTGCTTATGGATTTTTTTTTTTTTTTTTGAGACAGAGTTTCTGTGTAGTCCTGGCTGCCCTGGAACTCATTGTGTAGACCAGCACGGCCTCCCAATTCAGAGATTTCTCTGCCTCTGCCTCCCATGTGCTAGGATTACAGGCGTGTATTCTTGTTCATTATGGAAAGAACAACATGGGGCTGACAGTCTCAAGGTTGTATTCATTTATGGCCTGCATGTATGATCCTTATACTTAGGTACCGGGAAGCTAGTGTTGAAGTCATGGAGATAATGTCTCAGTTTGCTGTGATTGAACGTGCCAGCATCGATGAGGCTTATATAGACCTAACCAGTGCTGTGCAAGAAAGACTTGAAAAGTTACAAGGTCAGCCTATCTCAGCAGACTTGTTACCCAGCACTTACATTGAAGGGTTGCCCCGAGGCCCTACTACAGTAGAAAAGACTATCCAGAAAGGTACTTGTATCACATTACTTCTGCTTCCTGCTTTTGGAACCTGCTTGGCCTGGTTATGCTGATTTTTTTTTTTTAGAATGATACTTAAATTGTTGCCTGTATGTATCACAGAAACTCGCATGAAAGGATATACAATTTTTCTTTATCTTTCCAGGAATATGCATGATGAGAAGCTGTGAAATTTGTTTGAAAGTAAATATCTCTTTAGCTATATAACCACTTCAGTTTAGTGTTATCAACAGAAGGTAGAAGGCTGACTGCTTCCTTCATCTGTAGATTAATTCATAATGTTGAACCCAGGTCCTCTGGAAGAGCAGTCAGTGCTCTAACTGCTAAGCCATCTCTCCAGCCCCAGAATGAACTTTTTAAATGGAGAACCTTTTTAAAAGTAGAGGTTGACCAATTTAAAATTTTTTCTCAAGAGAAAGGGTCTTCCTCTGTAGCCCAGGCTGCCTCAAATTCTCCACACCGCTCCCCCCACTCCTGCCCAGCCATTGTAGTTACTAGGATTACACATAAATCTTTTAGGTTGCAAGTTTTGTGAGAGACAACTGCAATTTTAAACAGGAAGATAAGGTTGATAGGTTGATAATATTAGTAGTTAAGAGTGTTTAAATTATGGGCATTATATGGTGAGTTTTGGGTTTAAGGCTTTTATTTTGTTTTACACTAGAGACAAACACAGGACCTCCAGTGTACTAGCAAGTGCTTGTCCTCAAGTACACCCTCAAACCAAGTGGGAAGAATTGAGGTGGATGGGCTTCATTCTGCGGGTGTCTTACTTTTCTATTGCTGCGCAGATGCCATGATCAAGGCAACTTATAGAAAGAGTTTATTGGGCTTACAGTTTCAGTCGGGGAGTCCTTGACCATCATGGGGAACATGGCATAAGTCAGATAGTCATGGTGCTGGAGCAGTAGCTAAGAACTTAATTGTTGGACAACAACCTTGAGAGAGAGAGAGAGAGAGAAAGCACGCTAACCAGAAATGTCATGGGCTTTTAAAACCTCAAAGCCTATCCCCGGGGACATGCCTCTTCCAACAAGTCTATACCTTCTAATTCTTTTCAAACATTTTGTACCAGCTGAGGACCAAGTATTCAAATATATGAGCTTCCGGGACACCATTCTCATTCAAAGCCCCACAGCAAGTGAAGGCACTTACTGATGCCTGATGACCTGAGTTCAGCCCCTAGAACCTGTACTGTGAAAGGAAAGCACTGACTCCTGCAAGTTGTTCTCTATCTCCACATGTGTGCTTTGGTGCTTTGGTACATACCCAATTCCCCAACTTACAAAATAAATACATCTTAATTTGTTTTTAAATTAAAGAGATGGCTCAGTGGTCAGGAGCACACACTGCTCTTATAGAAGACCCACATTTGGTTTCCAACACCCACATCAGACAGTTTGCAACCACCTGTAACTCCAGGAATTTGATGCTCTCTTCTGAGAACACCTGCACTCACATGCACACTCTTATACAAAAACACATAAGTGTACACATAATTAAAAACAAATACTTTTTTAAAGAGTTAGGGTAGTGTAAGTAAGAAACAAAAGGTGAGTAAAGCAGGAATAGTTATACTGTTGTGGGAAATAATTTTGAAGTGGTCTCTGTTGACTGACTGCACAGTGGAAAATGGGTGGGGGTGGAGTTAATTCTAAACTTTTATTAAGAATAGAGTGTAGACTGGGCTGTGGTGGTGCACACCTTTAATCCCAGTACTTGGGAGGCAGGGGCAGGCAGATTTCCATGAGTTCAAGACCAGGCTGGTCTACAAGAACAAGTTCCAGGGCTGTTACACAGAGAAACCCTGCCTCGTTTTTTTTTTTTTTTTTTTTTTTTTTTT